AGCAGGGGCGGGGGGGGAAGGAGAGAAGCCCGGGGAAAAGGGGGAGGTGGACCGGGGGGGGGGGGAAGGGGGGAACCCGGCCGAGGGGCCTGCCCCGCCAATCCACCCGGCCCCCTAGTCTCCCGCGGCTCGCGCCCTTGTTCTCTTCCCCTCCCTCCCCTCCTCCCCTCCCCTCGCCTCGCCTCCCAAGCTTCGCTCCCTCGCCCGCCTGGCCACAATTCTTATTGGCTACCGGCATTTGGACAGGCGGAGCTCGCCCCAGGAGGTGGACAATATATCCAGCACGAGTGGGAGGGGACAGAGGTAATTTCTCTCCCTGGGCAGAGCCCCGTTTTCTTTTTCCCACCCCTTGGCTTCTACACACACAGACACGCTCGCTTGCTCGCTCTTCCTCTCTACTGCCTCCTCGCCACCCCCTTTCCTTGTTTTCCCTTTGGGGAGAGCGTCTACTCGACCAAGTGAGCCAGAGATACGAGTATACCTCTCTCTCTCTCTCCCTTCCTCACTTTCTCTCTCTCTCTCTCCTGACAAGGATTATTCTGAGGTTCGCGCCCCTGTCAGGGTGGGACGCTAGCCCGGCACACAAAAGACCGTCGCTTTTCCGCCCAGCGCCTGCCGGCAGTTCAGGGGCTGCGAACATCTCTACTCTGGATTAGTGGCGGGCACTGAGGATCTCGGAGGGGCAGCGGAATCCCCCCTCTTTCTCATCGTCTTTTCCCTGCGTAGTTCTTGCTAAGGCAACAGAGAGGAGATTCTGATTCATGGCTCGCGGGAAAGCCAAAGAAGGGGATGGCAACTGGAAGAAATTCATCTGGAACTCGGAGAAGAAGGAATTTCTAGGGAGGACCGGAGGCAGTTGGTGTGAGTATCTTCCTAGTCGGGGTTTGTCTCTATCATTTGTGGTGCGTTAAAACACAGACGCACAGGCTCGAGGCGATTTGCGTGTGCTTGTGTGTGCGTGTGCGTAGTGTTAATTGACTGCGTGGGAGGGGAAAGTCCTCCGTTTCGCGTGCCCGCATGTTTCGCAAGATCGTCGGTCTGAGCACCTGGCTCGCGGCAGCCGCTTTCCTTACCAGGCTGGCAGGGCAGGGATGCCGTCGCCGGGTGTAAATCTTGCGGATCACTTTTCTTCTTCGGGTGGCTGGCTCGCTTCCCCCGCTCCCCGCCCATCTCCCGTGCTGTCGGATTTAAAAATACACACCAAGCCTCCTCCTTGCCAGCTTTCAAAAATCAACCGTCCAGGACGCTTTGTATGGGAGGCGAGAGAGATGAGCAATGGTCTTGTGCCGCCAGCGAGACTTTCCAGTATGGCAGTGCCTTTCAGGAACTATGACAAACCAGGGAGGGCTGATGGTTATTTTTAAGCCGCAGATGTGTGAGTCAATGGCTGAGTTCATGGACATGCCAACCGCCCCCCCCCAGGCAAACCAAGGCTAACTATGCTTAGCATGTTGTACAAACTGTTGTCTAAATCCTGCCATCATTTGCTGCTTGTGCATTGTGCATGTAAAAAGATCAGATTGATTTCTTTTTGCGGAATTGCCCCAGTGGCGTTGCTATGGCCGGCTTTCCCAGGGGAAACCTGCAACTCTGATTGCCTCTCCACTTTCCCCAGCCTGGGGCCCTCCAGATGTGATGCCCACATCCCCAGGCAGGTTGGACAGGGTGCTCAGGACTGACATTCAGAATATTTGGAGGGCCTTGGGATTGGGGGAGGCTGGCTGCTTTGTCACCTTGGCAGAGTGGACTTTCATCTCTGCGCTGCAGCCTGTTGCCACTGCACTAGAAAGAGCAGCCTCCTTTTCTTTTCCCTCCTCTCTTTCCCCGCCACCTGAAAGGTCACCCTGAAGGGCACTGATACACCCAAATGCATCGTGACTGCAGGCAGGGCAGGGCAGAGCGGGTGGGTGCCAGGAGAGAGGGGGCGCCCTGCTCCCCCTCCTCCCACTATGCTCCTTGTCAGCACAGCAGCCACTGCGGCTGCCTTTCCCTTGCTCAGGAAGGGCACCACACAGGGAGAAGGACATACCAGGGAAGGGGCCTGGTGTTTCCTTTTGCTCCTCTAAAATGGCCACCAGAAACCTTGGGAATTGGGCTTGGAGAAAAAGAGAAGGCTTGGACTGCTTTCTAGCCCATCAACTCCAAAGGGTTAATAATGCATCAGAGCTCAAGGTTAGTCAAGGTGATACCTTCTGAGCAAAGAGGTAATGGCAGATGTGTTTGGGATCCCTGGGGAAACAGAGTGACTGCCGTCAAGGAGAATCCTGAGTTGATCTAAAGGAGGACCTTTTGGATGGACCAACATCTCTTGGAAATCTGACTTGCTGGCTGTCCACACACCTTCACTGAGGGAGGGAGGCCTAAGGAGCTGCAGAGGTAGGAGAATGAGACAGAGAGAAAGGTCAGGTTGGAAGGCAAAAGGAAGTTTAGAAATAATAAAGTCCTTGAAGGCTGTCTCTTAGCAACTAAACCTAACTTGGATGAGATGGTTCAGAGCACGCGCAGGCAAAAACTATTTAATTTTCCACCTTTCCTCTCTACCACCCACTCCATTTGCTGCTTGGTTTAGACATCCTTGCCCCAACTCAACTCTAGGAGTGAGGCCCTATTCATGGGCTCATCACTGATTCCATGTTGCACAAGCCAGCTCAAATGCAAAAGTCACTGTAGATCTTCAGAAACTTACCATCCAATGGTTCCCCTACTCCTCTGTCACTTTGACAGATTGTAAAACAGTATTAACTTCAGAACACGTGCTACTGTCTTTTCTTGACTCCCCGGCTTTATTTTGAATAGGCTTTTTGTGCCAGCCAAGAAGCACTAAATGCAATTTATTTTCTCGTCCTTTCTGAGGGAAAAAGTGTGACAAATTCCATGTGGATTGTACAGAGCACATTCAGGGCCTCTTACATGAATGTGCTAGATATGACTGCCCTTGAAGGAAAGGATAGGTTGCCCTTGAATCTCATCCTACCACTGCTGGAGTTTGAATCTTAAATCTCTCTGTAGATCCCTGCAGAGTACTGTTTCTAGAACTTTCTATTCTCTTCTAAAGTTTTTGTGCAAATTAGAAATATCAACTATACTCAGAGCAACAAATAGTTTGAAGGAGGAAAAAAATGTTTGTAACGAATGAGACTGGCTCTATGAAATAAGAGCTTAGAGATAAGAGAGAAAAGAGTTAAGGTGCATTTCAAAATAATTCACATATTAGTCTAAGAGTTCTGGTTAGAGAGTTGCTTCCAGCTGCAGTTGTTGGCCCAATGCCATTGAATCTAACCAATGTCATCTTGGAAGTGGCATATTCAACGTTTTCAAGCTTAAATCCTTGAATCCGCATAGAGGGCAGATGCAAATGGCTTGGATTACGACTCTCATCATCCCAAGCCAACATAGTTATGGCATAGTTCTGACTAGGTTGATGAGGGTTGTAGTCCAATTAATCTGAGGGTACTGGGCTGTCATGTATTGAAACACCTTTAGAAACAAGATGGCCAATTACTGAGTGGACAGTAAAATGTCCCCTAAATCCCTTTCAGAATAGCTAGACCAATGGAGGATCTTGTCTCTGTACTAGATAGCACACTGTTCTGTTGCTTTAAAAATGCAAAGTCTCTATGCTCTTTCTTTTTAGAACAGATTTCTTCTGTAGCGTAGGGAAGACTACTATTAAGATCCAGATCAGGAATGTCATTTAAATACATGTCCCTTCACTGCCCTTCCATATACACCACCCGTAGCACCCTGCTGTCAGCAGGTTTTCTCTAGTTCATTTCAACAGCACCTCCTATGACTGTACTCTGGAAAAAATGCTCAAATCTCTCTGACGTCACAGTTATTTGCCTACTGCTGCCTGGTTACTAAAGAGTGTGTTAAACCCAGGAGTGCCCAAACTATTGTGCTGCTAGTCTCTCTGGATAACTTTCATTTTTCCCTTCATTTGGTGGAAAAACACCTTATTTTAATAGGACTTATCTCTTGCCCTGACTTACTTGTAAAGGAGAAACTTTTCTGTATTTATGTTACTTATCTCTCCTCCCTTTACAGTCATTCCATACTAATGTTGGTTCCAAAGATCACTGCTTTTACAATATAATTTGTAGCTTAACCGCCCCTTTTCATTTTGAAGTTGGGTTGCTAGTAGGTTTGCACTAGGAGGCTTTAGTACAGCATGTAACATTGCTGCTAATCAGTTGAGATAATCCCTGTAAACTAAAAACTGATAAAACCAGATTTCAAAAACTGCAGTTCCTTGAAGCAGTACTACAAATAAAGTTTTACTCCTCTTCCTTGAAGAACAGCAACAACCCCCTTTCCTATTATTCTCTTACAATATTTGAGCATTAATCTGGCTGATTACAACTTGGTGTAGCCCAAATGGGTGACTAATATGAAATGGCTTTCTTAATAGATTATATAATCTATTATATAATTATAATTATATAATCTGAACCCTGGCAAGACCACGTGGCTTTGGGTTTTGGGGCTTACCAGTTCTAGGACTATGCCATCTTTGGTGCTGCATGGAGTGGCATTGTCTGTCTGGGGTGCAATCTGGGGGCCTTCCTGGACTCATGACTCCTGCTCGAAGAGCAGGTGGCAGTCATGGCTAGGAGGGCCTTTGCACAGCTTTGTATTGTGCGCTAGTTGTGCCCATTCCTAGATAAGGAGACTCTGCTCATCGTCACTCATGCCTTGGTCACCTCCTGATTGGAGTACTGTAATGCGCTCTATGTGGGGCTGCCCTTGAAGAGTATCCTGAAGTTTCAGCTGGTGCAGAATGCAGCAGTGTGGGCAGTTATATGTGCTTCCAGAACAGCATGTGTTACAGCTCTGCTCCACAAGCTGCATTAGTTGTCAGTTTGCTTCTGGGTCCAATTCAAGGTGCTGTTTTTAACCTTTAAAGCCCTTCATGGCATGGGACCAGAACAATCTCCCCCCGAAAGTGAGGTTAGCTCCATCCCTGCTAATTTTCAGGAAATCCCTCAAGACCTGGTTATGTCATCAGGCCTGGGGGGTCCCAGGGGACCAGTGAAATTCTAGTTAGCTCCATTACTGTGGCTGATATTTACTCTCTCCTGTGCTGTGTGGTTTTATTTTTTAATAATGATTATTGTATATATTTTAACAATGACTGTTTTATATATTTATTGTTTTAATTGATTGTTGTATGCCACCTAGAGTCACATTTGGTGAGATGGGCGGCCATATAAATTTGATAAATAAAATAAATAAATATAAAAGCAAAGTATGAGGGAGCTGTTGAGAACTGAGTCTGCATAAGAGGATCTAAGTTCAAATAAATCTGGGGGAGAGACTTTAAAATCTTGGAAACATGGAGTTTAATCAAGATAACTATTATAGTGAGCTGGGTTTTTATGCAACTTCAGATATGGATATAATTCCAAAAGCATATTTGAAGGTTACTAGGTAAGAAACATCCACAATCATATGTGTAGATTCTAGATCCATCTGTAACAAAATGGGGTGTGAGTTGAATGTGATTAATGTCCATAGTTGTCTCCTATTCATTTATTTATTGGATTTATGTCCTGCCTTCTGTATAGAGGCTCAAGTGCTCTGTCCTTTTATGTTTCTCCACAACAGCAACCCCACGGGATAGGTTGGACTGAGAGAGAATTGCTGGCCCAAAGTCACTTAGTAAGCTTCCTGAATCTCTCCAATCCTGGTCCAACATCCTAACCACTACATCACCTTATTACCATATTTACGGTCTATATCCCTTATATCTCAGTGGTCCAGCTTTGGAGTATAAGCCAACTTATTGACACTGAGTTTGCTAGTAGGAGGAGTTATGTTGAAGCTGGAAATGGACTGCTCCTGAATCCCATTAAGGGCCCAGAGATTCAACTAGGTACGTTCTAATTCTAACAATATCAGCCAGTTTTCCCCAACATGATACTTTCTAGGTGTGTTGGATTATAATTATCACAACCTGCAGCAAGCAAGTCCATCCTAAGTAAATGTATTTAGGATTGCAGTGTTTATGAGAACTCACAACTTTAAAAAATTGCTCTGTTCTGATCTCTTATTTTAGATCCCATTGCTTGAGTTTACTATCCTTCCTTCATAGCAATTGGCTTTAATGTTGACTTTAATGTGACTTGTACTGGTAATCTTGAAAAACTGCTATGTATTCTGATGGCCTATTAACCCCTTGTCCTTAATAGCAGTATTTGTTCTCTCTTGTCACAGTTAAGATCTTCCTCTTCTACCTGATCTTCTATGGCTGCCTGGCAGGCATCTTCATTGGGACCATTCAAGTCTTGCTGCTCACTATCAGCGAATTCGAGCCCAAATATCAGGACCGAATAGCACCCCCAGGTAACTATGAGGATAGCTGGGTAGGCTAATTACATGCCCCATTGCAGTGGGATGGATATGGGCTTGCCTTTGGAGCTGTAGAGATATGGCAATCACCTTTTAACTGCCTCTTTCAATTTTTTTCTGTCATTCTTTACTGAGAGAGAGAGAAAAAAAATTCATCAGAACTGTTAAAACTGCTAAAACAATCATCCCCAAACTTGTGTTGTGTACACATATTGGACTACAATCCTATCATGATCATATTTGGTGGGAAAGCTGGGAGTTGAAGTCCAATATGTCTGAAGGTGAGGAGGGCTGGTTTAAGGTCAGGCAGGTCAGGCAAATTATTTAGCAAACCTGGAAATGTTACATTACCTTCTGCATCGTAAGGTAAGTTATCCTTCCAGTTCTACATTTTCATCTCTCATATTATTATCTAATTCACCCCCAGCCAATGTTTTAAACAGTTTTAAATTATGTTATCACAGTTAAGAAATATATGAATGACTTCCAACCTTCTTTTCAACGAATAATTGCAGCCCTGTCTCTCTTAAAAGTTATACAAGTCCCTTCAGCCCCTCATTTAATCCATATCTTTCTTAATCTTCAAATCCATAAATCTTCAATTCATTTCCATATAAGGTTTCCAGTCTTTCAGAAAAGTTTCTGTTGCTTTTTCTCTGCCCAAACAGGTCAGTTTTGCCATTTCTGCAAATTGTGACATTTTCACAATCCATTCCTCTACTGTGGGAATTTCATTATTCTTCCATTGTTTTGCATGCAATAATCCTGGTGCAGTTACCATATACAAAACCAATCTACTGTAAGATTTCTTTCCTAGCATTTGCTTCCTTAATTCATGTGTGCTTTAAAAAAAAAAACAACTATGTTCCCTCTATAGACATCACCTTCCTGCTCCTCATTTCTGAAATCAGCTTCTATCCAGGCTTCCAACCATATTAAGCAGAGGAAGATAATTCCATTGCTTTATCTGTGGAAGGAAAAGGGCATATTTTCAAAAATCAGTAGTTACACAACTCTAAAGTGGCAGTGTTTTTCCTCACTGCAGCATCCTGCAAAGAACGAGAGATATCAAACTGCGCCTGTGTTTATAATTTGCCAGGTTCCTGTATTTTTCCATTTTAAACACTTTCCATTGGTGAAGTAAGATAGAAGATTGCCCAGAGGCTGGTCAGTTACTGTTATCTAGCTCTACAGGGCCTAGGTATTTTTACAATCAGGGAACATTTGTCTTTGTCTCTTCTCTGGAGCTACTTCTGTTCTGGTGTCCCCTAGATAGTATATCTAATTATATCTGTCTGAATTAGAATCTGTTTGGTGCAGCTCAGTTAATTTAAAAAACACATAATGTAAGCTTATGATTAGGAATCATCTTCCCATTATTTTCTTTTCATATTATTAATTTGTACAATGCCTACACGTCAGAAACTGGCAATGATGTCAGACCCACTCCATTCTTGCTGCACTACTCTGGTTCATGGAAGTTTTCCACCTGCTTGGTAAAGTGAAGGGGATGGCAACAAAGCCAGAGAGTGCCTGCAATGATTGACGTATCTACACATTTAGACAATGGATTTGGGCAGGGAGTTTCAACAGAAGCAAAAGAGGGGTTTATAATGTAGACAGCCAATTGAACAGTAACATTGGTTTGTAATGGCATATGCAGAGGTGAATGGCGGTTTAAATCAGTAGTGAGAAATGACTTTGCATGGCAATCTGTCTGTACTAAAATTCTCTTTTCCACATAACAGTTAAAGATGAAATGCTCTCAGCTCTTCCTTTCATCTGTCCCTCCTAGAATGTAAAGGACAAAGACAGGAAGACACAGAAAACAATTTACATAGGAACCTAGGTTGCAAGAAGGAAAGTGATGCCTTCACCCAACTTTTTAAAATTATTTATAACTTCTGGGTATAGTATAGATTTCTTCAGGAGTGGCTTGATCATAACTTAAAAAAAAAAAGTTGTGGACAAGATACTGCATTAAGAAAGGGCAGGGAGAAAAGAGAATAATAGATTGCTTGATATAAATAGTATCTATTCTAGAAAATACTGAGTGTAGGGTATTTATCAGATTTTAAGATGAAATTAAAACTTATAAATAACTGTAACTCTGGGATGGAATATCTAGCAGACCCTGGGAACACAGAGGAAGGAACTGGACCATTACAGAAAAGATTCATTAGTCCAGAGATGGGGAAAATTTGAGAAAGAGACTCAATAAATATGCTTTAATCATGCTACGTCTAAGTTCATGTGGAGATTTGCTCTGGCAGGCTTTTAAGAAGGATTCTCCTACATTTTTCTACTAGCAATAATGATCATTGTAGAAGTCCAAGTGGTTCTTGTTTCCAGAGTTTGCCAGCCTTAAAGGACTTGACAGGCTGACATAAAGTCCTCAAATTTTAAAGAAGTCAGAAAATAAATGAGGAAAGAAAGCTTTTTCATTGAATCCAATATAGGCATGCTTAGCATAGTCATGCCTCATCTTCCCCATTGATTTCAATGGGTTTCTCTCAAGTTTGACTAAATTCAGGTCAAGTCTATTGAGTTGAACAGTCCTAAGTGCAACAGCATTGCATGAAGGAAAAGCTGTTATGTCACTGGATTTGAAATCAGCCCTGATTCCAATTCAATATATGACTTGTTGCCATGTAACACATGGGGTTATTGTGTGAACCACCAGAGCTTCAATGGAAGTGGCTGCTTGAAACATCTGGATTTCAATGTAAGCTGCACAAACCGCCCAGAGTTGCTGTGAATTAGGTGGCATATAAATTTAATTAATAATAATAATAATAAATTAACATCTGGAAAGGTGTTTCAGGGGACTTCTGGGGAAGAAATGGTAAACTGAAGATGGCTCCACTAAAATCAGAGCCGATGACTGCAGCAGAATGAAGAGCCGGCAAATAGACTGACACTTTGTAATTCCTCTCTGGACAAGGAGAGAACTTGAGATCACCCACAAATGTTCCATACAGTTGCTCCTCACAAGGAGAACGCATCGCAGCTGTCTCTGGCAGGTTTAGAGCTCTGGGAGACAAGGGAATGCTCATCTTTTTTCTCAAAACGTGGTCAGTAACTTTAAAAAGGACACTGGGTTCACATACTTCCTTTTCTAATCACTTTCAGAAGTTGCTTGTTAACTGCTTTTCAGCTATTAGGAATCTTTGGATTGACATGCTTTACAGCACTGGATGAGTTTCCTTCAATCCTTAGTGAAAGAAGTTTTAAATAAAAGTTTAAGGATTTTTTTTAAAATTCTTTTGGCACAAACAGCAAAAGGGGATTAGAACTTTGATTCTGGAAAGTTACAAATGGACTAAGGGCCCAGTTGTATTTGAAATAAGATTTTGGAATTAATTATAAGAGTCCTACCTGTTGGAAAATGGTTTTGTTTTGCATTCTCTTTAACAAAAAAAAACATGGTAGGATGAGAATTTGAAGGTTGGACACTAGAGGGAACCAGAATGAACTAAAGTTTACAATTAAAGGAGAAGAACACTTAAATTTGACTTACTAGTACAGAATGGAGCAAAATATTTTAACATTAAACATATTGAAGGATATTTTTGACAATGGATCCAGCAGTTAATTTTAAGAGTGTCTGCCTCTATAGATAGACTGTGTTTAAAAGTTGTTATGGAAGAGGAACAAGTTTTACCAGGCAAGACTGAGACTGACCTGAAAGTGGATTTAAAAATGACAGGGTACAAGAATGATATGGAAAAAGATGCTGCACTGGACATACAAAAGAAGCCGGCTGATGTCTTAATAATTAAAAGGGATATACAAACAACAAACCAAAAAAGTCACCTGGATAACTTTCCTACATTGGATTTACAAAGGAGACTTCTTCAAACTTTGAAGAATTTTGTGAGAAAGGATAAAGAAAAAATTAAAAGAAATCAAGTTCTAGGACATTATTTGAAGGGATTAAAGATCAAGATTGTTAAAAGGAAGGAATATAATGTTGGTTCATTTGATCAAGGTTAAAATAGATATGTTGTTATCTGGTAACCCTTAATGGATTTTTGCTAATCAGGACTGAACAATGAGGCTTTAAGGATAAGAGATGGGATATGGGAAGAAGAGATTATTTGTTGTATTTTAAGAAAAGGTGATAAGTTACTAAAATTGTTTATACTTGTTATGAAGGGGGAAGTCTTCTCTTTTTCTCTCTACTATATTCTTATTTTTTCTTTCTTTTCTATTTTTCTTTCTCTTATTTTCTGCACTTTCTATTTTTTCTTTTTATTCTTTTATCTTTTTAGTTTATATTCGTTTTCATCTTTTTAATTGTAATTTTTAATAAAATTACTGTAAAAAAGGGGGGTGTTTCACAATGCACAAGAGCATGAATACAACACCTTTCAATCACTAGTTAAAGCAGTTAGATGTCTTTGTAGGATCATGCAACCGGCCTTGGGAGGCTTCTGCTAATATGTTATTCTGCAAACAGATGCAGCTGCTTTAATGAGTCACAGAGAGGTCATACATGTGTCAGTGATATCTGTAACAAACCAGGATGATTTTTAAAAAGTGATAATGTCATCAGGCTAATACTGCCACTATGTACGTGTGTCCTAATGTCTGACACAAGTATGTATGTTATGACATTTTTATGATAACATCACTAAGGATGCCCCCTATGGATAATCATGCTTGGTTTTCCATCCTCCTAGGAAAAAGAGAAAGATAAACAGGGGTGCTAGGGAAGGGGTAGCAAATAGCACATCGGTAAATTGGTGTGACATGTGGTTTTATCCCTATGGTAGCTATTTAATGAATACAACAGAAATTGTACTTGTTTTTATATTCTGTATAGTATATTCAAATTGTATTTTAAACTATTACTAATACTTCTCTTGACAATATATATAGTCATATATTATAGTCATTGACACTGTAAAGTTTACAATATCAATGCTCATGAAAGGAAATAATATTCAAGATAGAATTCAGTTTTCTTATAATATCAACACTCATGTTTA